TTTGAACAATTTTTATTTGTTAAAATAATATTTTTAGTTTAGGAAGAATGTAACGTACGATACTTTTTTATATACTTGGCGTAATCTTTTTCTTTTTTTAAAAAAGAGTTTTGATAGGTACATAATATATAAAAGTATTGTCGTAATAATTATAAGTCTTGCTTGGCTGGTCCGCAAAATTATTCTAAGGAGGTTTCAGTTTTGTGAACCGTTGCATATACATATACCAAATTTGGTGGCCAATTAATGTTATTTCCAATGAGGATCTGAAATTTACTGATCAGGAGTCTATCCACAAAGAGATTAAAAGACGAAAATTTGCGTGGATAAATCACACGCTGCGTAAAGATAATCGTGAGTAAAATGCATTACAAATTCTCGGGAATTCCTGAGGACAACGAAAGAAAGGAAAATTTAAAAACTCTTGGAGGAAAACGACTTTGGCAGAAACGGGGAGGTTGAGTTGAAATGAGCCGGGCTTTGTTATCAAAGATATAAGGCAGTTGACGGAGTTTCATGGATGATCTACGCTCTTAATGAAGCCGTTGGAGCTTACTACTACCCTTACTATTACCCTTACTACTATTTACAATAGAATATTGCGATAGGATTTTTGAGGATTTTTGAAATGGGTGTTAAGAAATAAGTTTCAATCATGGTATTACATTTTATTGCAATGTCTTGATTCAATTTTCATATTGCTGATGCCAAACAAACAATACATCTCGAAATAATTATTAAAATTTAAGGAATTGCGCACTAGTAGAGACATATTATATAAAACATTACAATTATACATTATTGACAATACATCGACAAAATAACAGAATTGTATTTTTATATTCACATTTTTATAGATTGAAAACTATAATTTTTGTATGTTGTATCCTCCTATATCCTTTCAGGATATCAACTAGGTAATATTTTTAAAATCCCACAAAGGCTTTATATGCGTCAGGTATTTGAATTACGATAATCACAAATGTCACAATTGTCATGATGAACTGAAAGAAATTGATATGTTGATTAAATTTTAATGTAGGCACTAATTTTAATAAAAGATAAATAAAGATAATGGTTTAGATTTTTTGTAAGTAAATTCATATTTTTATCATGCCATAAAATAGCATCAGAGTTTTATCTAAGCGATAATAAGCGTTTGGTAACAAGTGTTTTATAATTTAGTGCAAGAAAACTGAAAAAGATATAATATTTGATATATAAATATAAATACACAAAAAACGAACTTTTCGTAAAAAGCCATTGCCAAAATAGAAGAGACCTAGTCCTGATAATTTTAATGGATGCTGTATTATTTGTAATGTAAACTGGTAAATCTGCACAAAGTAATTATTATTTAAGTCTAACCAATTAATTTTAGTTGCTTTTTTTTATGGAAATTTATTTTACCTCGTTACGAATATCAGCATATCGAAGATGATCTGTTAATCGATGAATTATTGTATTCATTTCGTTAGACTAAAATATAAATATATATAAAAGATATATATAAATAAGTAAATAAATATATGTATATGTATATACATTTAATATATGTACGTATTATAAGTTATGTAGGAATTTACCTTAGTACTGACACTTTCACAAGCATAATTTAAACAGAAAAGCCTGGCCATATATAAAGATACCAAAAAATAAATGTCAATCCAATCTATTAGTGATGATATAAAATTATCGTCTGTTGTTAAATGTATGAAAGTATAACGAAATAATCTTGTCAAAAATATTAAATAAGCTATCATTTCCATAGTCATCTGTACTTCAAACATTGCGTTTAATTCGCGAGCAAGTTGGCATAATTCCAAATGGAGATGCCTATTAAAACATATTGTTAATAAGAACATAACGAAATAGTGAATCAAAAAGGAATTTTTTTAATGGAATGGATTATACATATTATATATTTAAATAAATTTCAATTTTCTGCAAAATTCTTAATTTAGGATTTTATACAATGTTCAATTATTTTAAAATTAATAATGTATCCAAATACATTTGTGTACCGATTTACATTGTGGTCCACACCAATCGTTTGTAATTATTAAAACACATAATATATCGATGAGTGGGCAATACTACTTTTCTCGTCCATGTATATGTTACAACATGTTTCTCTCTCCACAACAAACATCTCATGAGTTCATTTAGTTTGTCAAATCTGGTGCCAATGTGCCTACAAAGAGAAACTTCAGTATAGTATTAACCCTAGACTATCACACCATATTTGCCACTAAAATCTGTCATAGTACTGGGTAAAATTTACTCGGCCTACCTATTTTGTTGCGTAACTTCGGTTCAAAAGCATTGATTTAGAACTTTTTCTTAAATCTAAATTTTAATCTTTAATCAGACAGTAAGAAAGATGACTGAATGGATAGTAACATTCAAAGATCTTAAGGACATGAATAATTTGCAAAAATGTAAATCAGTTTTTATATCTTTTCCAAAAAAGGCTGATTCTTCTTTTACATCGCAGTTCTTTTCAGAGGCGAATAAAAAAGAATAAAGCATAGTTTCTAAAAGAACATGAATGCTATTTAAAAAAAAAACTTGATATAGCTTCACTTTTAAAAACATTTATTTGACCGAGTGAACTAAACCGATTGTTGAACTTTACGCTGAAATGACAGTACCAAATGGAATGACGTGGCTTATGATGGAAAGTTGTAGAGGACACTTGTTAGTCCCCCTCCCCCCCCGCCCTTCACATCGCGACCTCATTTTTTCAACTCTGTCGGAATTGCATGCACTTCAAAAATGGTCCGGGTAAATTTTACCCAGGTATGGTAGTCTAGGGTTAAAATTTATTGAGAATAAGCCACATAGACAACTGTAAAAACATATATATAACTCTATCTTGTTAAAATAAAAATAATTAATTTTTAAATTTCTAATAATACTGTATTAAACATTATATTATTTCAATATTATATAATATATGAACATCTTAAATTAAATTTATTTTTATAAAAGACATTAAATTCTCTAAAAATATTATGATAATAACTTATTTTTATAAAGCAGATGTCGATTAAAATGCTATGTATACATATATATTATAAATAATATACAAACCATAGATAAGTTGTAAATACTAAATCCACAAACATGTTGACATGTTGGAGATGATTCGTAATATAAGGTATAATCATGCACCAATGATTCTCCATTGTACGAGACCACCACATCATATTATTTATATTTACCATTTGGCTACACACTAGCCATCCAATTAATATTCTTTTTATACATACATATAATTTTTGATATATTTTAGGAATGCCTAACTTTTCAAATGTATCATCTACAGCAGCAAGTCTTCTTATGAATTTACTCAATTTCTGGACAATATTATGTAGTAACACAATTTATTAAATGTAAAACGTATTTATGTTAAAATTATTTAGATAATTATATTTTCATTATAAAGGATTGAGAAGAGCTTGCTGCAACAATCGGCTAACTCATATTTTGTAGCAGAGAAAGTTAAAATGATAAAGAGTAGATTTTCGCGGTTTTTATAAAACGTTATAAAATATGAGTTAGCCTACTGTTGCAGCAAACTCTATAATTGTAATAGATTAACCGTTACAAATTAATGCGAACATTGAATATATGTATATTGTATATCCATATGTACCTTATGTTGATATAAACTCATAATAATAGACGTAATAACGACAAGAAAGTTAATCCCATTATT